TGACTTTTTCCTCCGGCGCTTATTACCTTGAAGATTATCCTATTATGGATTCACAACCGGTCAACAAGCCACCCTTCTTCAATGGAGCAAATTATGCACATTGGAAGAATAAGATGATATACTTTATCCAATCCTACAATCTAGGAGCTTAGAACTCAATCATGGATGGTTACTTCTCTCCACCTGGCTAGTACAACGATTGGAGTAGAGAAGAGCAGAAAAATTTCCAGCTTAATTCTAAGGCTATACATATTCTATTATGTGCTTTAGGCCCAAATGAATATGGAAGAATATCATCTTGTTCCAGTGCCAAAGAAATTTGGGATAAGCTCCAAGTCACTCATGAAGGAATCGACGAAGTAAGGGAATCAAAGAAAAGTCTTCTCAACCATAGCTACGAGAACTTCAAGATGAAACCCAATGAATACATCAAAGCTATGACGGATAGATTTTCCGTGATTGTCAACGGTCTCAAGGTATATGGAGAAGTAATCCTTAATGAGAAGCTTGTGAGGAAGGTGATCTACTCTCTTCCGAATGAGTGGAAATCAAAGAAGACGGCCATTATCAAAACTAAAAACCTAAAGTCTCTCACTCTCGAAGAGCTAATTGGTTCCATTCTCACTCATGAGATTATGGTGAAGGAAGGTGAAAAAAGGGAAGAGAAGAAATAGGTAGGCATTGCCTTCAAATTCATCAATAAAAGCTATCAAGAATCATGTGATGAGGTAGATGAAGAAGAAGATGAACAAGAAGAAGAGATGGGCAAGCTCTTGAAGAAACTCAAGAGATTCATGATTTGCAAGGAAGTGAAACATGAATCAACCAAGAAGAAGAGTCCCCCGGTGTGCTTCAATTGTCAAAGAAAAGGGCATGTCAAATATGAATGTCCTCTTCTAAAGAAAAAGGGGAAGAAGGCATTTGTTGCATCTTGGAGCGATGAAGATGATTCCAATGATGAAGATGAAGTAGTCAACCTATACCTCATGGCCACTCAAGAAGAATTCGAGGTATCTTCTAACTCAAATGAATTTACTTTTGATGAGTTACAAGATGCTTATAATAGGTTATATTTGGGATTTGAGACCATGAATTCCAAATATACGAAATTAATTTCAAAACTCAAAATTAAAGAAAATTTGATTTTGAAAGCAAAAGTTGATTTTGAAAATCAAAATGAAATTTTGAAAAATAATTTAGAGTTTTCAAAAATCAAAATAAATGATTTAGAAAAAAAAAATTTTGAGTTAGGAATTAAGCTTGAAAGCTTAATAAAAGAAAAGGAATTAATTTCTAAAAACAACTTATTATGTTTAAATATGGCAAAATGCACACATTGTCATTATCATGGTCATATGGAACATACTTTTCCTTTGAGGAAAGGAAAACATTTTAAAATTAGACAAGTATGGGTTCTGAAAGGAACAAGGGGCATTGAAACTAACGTTCAAGGATCCAAAGCAATTTGGATACCAAAATCTACTTCAATGTCTCTTGTAGGTGTGTGGGAGCAATGGTGATGAAAATGATGATATTCAAGATGCTCTATCCACACATGAAAAAGTAATGGGTAACCTCTAAGCTTAATGCTTTTTAATTTTGGTTATTTGGTTGCTCATTTGATTTTAAGCATGCATGAGTTTTTGGTTTTAACTGATTATGCATCATTGTTTTAATCTCATGTATGTTGAAAAGATGATTATGATGAACATTTTAAAGTTATATTAATTTTTAAGAATTTTTAGTTCATCATAATAAAATTTTGGTCAAAATCGGTTTTAATGCAAGTGATATCTCTCTAACAATTGATATCAATTTTTCAAATACTTTGATTTTAATTTTTTTTTAAAAAAATTGACCTAAATTTGAATGTTTATGCATGTAGTTTAAATGAAAATGATATCTCTCTAACAATTGATATCAAAAAATTTTCAAGTGCATAACATTTTTGGGAAACTCTATGCATATGATTTTAAATTCAACAATTGGTATTGCATAAAGTATTTTAGACTTGGATACATTGAATTTCATGTGCTACTAACATGTTTGTTATTCTTTGTTGAAATTCAATTTTGTTTAAGTGACAAGTTCTTAAAGCTAAATTTTGTTTGGAATGCATTTATTGAGGGGGAGCTTTGATTTTTCAAATGATTTTTAAAAATGTCAAATTTACTACTTACTCTCCAAAGTTATTTTGAACTTCAAAGATTGAATTATTTTTATATAACAAAAAGGGGGAGAAGTTTTGGTTTGAAAAATTCAATTTCTTAATGAAAAATGGGGAGCTTAACATTTTCATATATTTTCTAACAATTGGTATCTTTTTCATTAAACATTTTATTAAGGGGGAGTTTTGCCAAAAAACAATTTTTCAAATGTTTTGTTATATCAAAAAGGGGGAGATTGTTGAATTATGCTTTGAAATAACAATTTAAGGCAAAATGTTTTTGGACTTGAATTGAATTTACAAAAAAAAAAAATTGGATTTGAATTGAATTTATTCAAAGTTTTCAAAAGGTTTCAAAAATAATTCAAAGTCCATTAAATTTGGATTTGAACAAAAATGCTAAAGGGTGTCAAAGTGCATCCATGCACCCTTGCAGTGCATCCATGCACCCTTGCAGTGCATCCATGCATCCCTGCAGTGCATCCATGCATCTGCACTAATGCATCGATGCATCATGCAATGCATCCATGCACTCAAACACCAAATGCAATTAGTGCATCGATGCATCCTGATGTGCATCGATGCATCCTTGCTATGCATCGATGCATCCTTGCTATGCATCGATGCATCCTACTATGCATCCATGCATCAAGGCTGCAACGGCTAGTAACAGCTAGTTTATTTGAATTTAATGAAGGGGTATCGATGCACCTTGATAATGCATCGATGCACCATGTTATGGGCAGCCTTTTTGAGTAGAAAAATCATCCCCAAACGACTCCAAAACATCCCCAACGGCTATATACAACATCAAACACATTCCAAGCTATAAATACAAGCTAAGGACACTTGAAGAAGGAAGAGAACAACTATCCAAGCAATCAAACAGAAGAGAAGAGTTTTTCATTCTTATTTCATCTTTCTCTTGTAAATATTTTGTTCTTGTGAGCTCAATCTTGTAAACACCTACCTTTGAGAGGTTTATTTGTTTACTTCTTTTATCCTTTTGTAAAGGGGAAAGGTTCTAGCTAATCTCGTATAAAAGCTAGGGAAAGGTTCTAGTTTAGCCCGGAAAAACTAGGGAGTTTGTAAGGTTACTCTTTGTCCTCAAAAGAAAGAACAAATTAGTGAATTTGTTGGAAAATCCTTGGTGAGGAGCTAAGGTAGTGGATGCAGACATTGTTTGAGAAAGGCGAACCCTCTAAATCGATGTGCAATTCTCTATCTTTCAATCTCCTTACTCCCTAAATACAAAAATCGATCCCGACCCTCTTTGCAAGCAATTCTGATTGTATATTCGAGCATCCGAAAATCCCAACACTATGCGAATAAGATACACTTTAAATAGTGAAACGAAGAATAATTATAAAGTTAAAGCCCAAGGTATATGTATGAGAATTAGGGGTATAATTGGCATGTCAAGAGTCGATGGTTTTACGCGGTCCTTCGGGACATATATACGTGGTCCTTCGGGGCATTTCTACGTGGTACTTCGGTGCATATTCTACGAGGCACATCGGTGCAATTTATATGAGCAGTTGTGACTGCATTAGTGCACAACCTTAATGTACTCACATACCTTGAGTTCTCAGCGATATACTTTGGGAAAATAAAACAAACTAATATAAGTTGAACAATGAGTAACAGTATAAAATGTAAATAAAGAGTCTAATGGTTTCTATATGAAAGGTTTTCAAAGAAATGTATAAGCAGATGTCAAACGAACATATATTAATCAATGTTTAATAATATATGTTATAAGTTATGAATAGTATATATAGTTATTTGAAATGGAAAATGGTTATAAGTTGAGCAGTGATTAAAAGTCTCTTTTATTTTATATGAAACATAAATTGATTTTCATATCAAGTATTTTCCTCTGAATTGTTTTAAAATTTTATGTTGCTCATAATGCCTCACTAAGTCAATAACTTAGCGTGTGAGTGTTTTCACACGTAGGTTCAAAGATGTGCGAAGAGTAAGACATATAAGTAGGAGGCAGGACATCATACCTTTGAATATTATTAGATCAGAGAAATTTAAATTGTATGTGATTGTGTATGAAAATGTTGTTGGCATGTACTGTAAATGTAAAGTTTAGATGCTCTTATATGTATTTTAACTATGATTTGTAAAGTTTTGTTTTCATTATCAAGTTAAATCGCATTTTAAAAGAGTCAAAGTATTTTAAAAGTTAATGTGATACCTTAGAGTTGTATTTAGGGATGGATATGGTACCCGAACCAAAAATTTCAGGGTCGGGTCAGGTTTTTTAATGTGATGTTCGAGTCGGGTTCGGGTTTAGGGTGAAAAATACCTGATCCGACCCGAAAAATTTATAATTTTACCTTATATATTTAGGAATAATTATAATAATACCTCTCTCTATATATATTTTTTCAATTAAGTCACTGTTTTATTGAATGAAAATAACATTTTTTATTATTTCGGGTCGGGTCAGGTCGGATTTTTAAGTTATATATCGGGTCGGGTTTGAGTCGGGTGGAATCTTATTTTGGTCGGATCGGGTCAGATCTCGGGTGGAGGATTTCTTGTTCTCGGGTCGGATCGGGTCGGCTGAACCAAACACCCTACCCATGCCCATCCCTAGTCGTATTCGGGTCGGGTGTTACAAGAAGCTTAATGTGAGAATCTGAAATGGGGTGTAGGCAATCGAAATGCGAGAAGCAAGCAGACAAATTCAAAACACCATTATTTACCATATGATAGAATAGGAGGATGAGTTGCGACGAATACGTATTTTTGGGTATTTACATTGAAATTGTAGTAATTATAAGCGAAATACAATATAAATGTTGCTATGTATAGGAGAAACTTAATAAATCCGCTAAAATTGAACAATTGAAAATGCAGAAATCATAGATGCATACATGAAAGATGAATGGGTGGAAAGAGGTCAGAGAAAGAATAGAGATTCTTGAAGAAGTCGATTGGAAGAGTCTGAGTAGAATCGTCTTCCAGCGATTTGCAGGATCCATTTCCGCCTTCTTGTGCTCTTGTATTCTCATCCAATCATGGAAGCCATTCAACGCCCCTCTCTTCGGACCGTCTTATTTAGGCCGCAGCTGAAAGGAACTTCATCAACCCGGGAGAGAACCAATCTCTGGTAAGCAGTCACCAGGGCTGCAAGGTCAGGCAACAGAGGTTCCCAAAGAAAGGCCGCCTGGGAGATTTAGCTTAAAGAAGGAGAAAGATCTTAGTTAACCCAAAGGAGGGGGAGAGGATACGCAGTAACTCGACTAAAATGAGAGGGAAGTTTTCCCAGAGAACTCACCAATCCATCACCGGCGGTTCATGCGTACAGCCTTTGCAGAATCAATTAGAAGTTTGAGAACTTTTAAAACAAAACAGTGAAGAACCAAAATCCCACATCTTGTGGGAAAGCATAGAGGGAATGGTATTTAATATAGAAGGCATTAACGTAGGAGTGTTACGGCTGACCTATGCTGGGTTGTTGGTGTGGGTGCTTGGCCTTAGGTACCCGGTTCTCCCTTTGGTCTGGCACTGCGCTTGGGACAGGTCCAGAGGTGGTGTTGGGTTTTTAGGGATTTATGTTTCATGAAATGTACACAAATTATGGATTTTTATAGAAAATTGAGGGATCGAACTAGAAACAGAAAGTCCTAGAAATTATTTATACAATCAACCTAAATAGCATCATTGATATAGTATCTGAAAATGATCCTACGAATCTTCTTTGAAGTATTGGCAGAACTTGACCTAGATAATATTCAGGAGGGGATTTCCTCGGGACACGCATAGTGTATGGAGGTTTTTCCAATAATCGCATGAATTTATCTGGAACCCTTTTGACAATAGTAACATCTTTTGCAAGGTAAGAAATGAACCATTTGACGTCAAAAATGTCAACAAAGTCACTGCATATTGGGATAAAAAAACACTTAACAAGGTAACTGAAGAGAGGGAACATATCAATTTTGCAGAGATTCTAATAAGCAACTGAACTTACCTATCATCCTTCCAATATGAATTATGATCCAAGTCAAGTATCACTAGGGTTACATTCAGGATCCGACAAACAACTACAACATATGATATCAGTGTGCCAGAAGCAAATTATTATTTCTAAAGAAATAGCACACACCATGGTCGGTGGAAAAAATAAGTTTGTTAGGATGCCCGAATCATCGAAACTCAATTAGTACAATTCAACTAAAGCAAAGCTTATTGATTCGTATAGAAAATGCAGTAACTCAGAGACAAGTAACATTTTGCATTCGTGAAATTACAATATCTTCCATTAGAATATTTCCCCAAAAATATAACATAATGTATGTTTTGACTTACTCCTGTTCTTTGTTGATTCAGTCCACCACTTGCTCCAATAAGAAAATAGCCATTTCATGTTCGCTCAAGTACAACATCTGGCATAAATGAAGAATCAATGAACTGAAGAGATTGGTTTGGTGAAACTAAAATGACAAAAGAGGAGAATGTGTTCTTTTCTAAAAGGTAAAGTGATGGTACCGTACATCAAGTATTTAGAACCGTTGAAATTTACATTAGAACCAAAGTACAAGCAAACCAAAGTAAGTTGCAAAGCAAGATTTTTCATGTTTCAATGCACTTTATTTCTTGAAATATCAAACAATGACTGCAATCAAACACCAAGGTTTAATGGGTTCGGCTTTCACTGACAAATTCCGAAGGAGAAACGAATTGGGCATCCATAAAAAACTGACATAAAATTCAAAGGAAAAAACGAATTTCCTTTCCAGCATGAAAAGAACTCGAGCGCAAGTACAAGCAAGGCAAAAAAAAAAGTTTATCACCAGAATCTGAAACTAACCTTTGGCTCAAAACTTCCCTTTTCGCTCCAATCTCTGAAATTACCTTTCCCGCTTCTCTGTTAGTAGTGGTGTTATGGTCCCCGCTCCAATCTCTTTCCATATCGCTCTTCCTTCCTTATCGAACTTCCTTCCTTATCGAACTTCCTTCCTGATCGCTCTTCCTACCTTATCGCTCTTCCTATCTATATCTGCTTCCATATCTCAGCTCTGAAGAGGAAAATTGTGTTAATATTTTGTATGTGGTAGAGCAAACTCCCACATCCACATCTGGGGGAAAAAGAGAAATGAAATGGTATATTTTTAGAAGAACTTAAAGCATAACCGGGGCCGTAGGACTATACGTACTTGTGGGTGTGGGTGTGGGTGTGGGTGTGGGTGATGGGCCTTGGTGTCCGGGTTCTCCTTTTGGTATAGTTTTGGGCTTGGGGCAGACCTAGGGTGGTGGGTGGGCTTTTTGGGGTCTGGGTATTCGTTTATTTAAATAATAAACGAACACAAATGAACGAATATAAACAAACATAATAAACAAACGTAAATGAACATAAATGAACGTAAACAAACATAAATGAATATAAACCACAACAACAATAATCACATAAAATTCATTAGTATAAGTTGTAACTTCATAGTTAATTTGTATTTAATTGTTTTGACTTTTTTATTTGTATTTAAAATTAATTGAATTTAAATATTAATGGGTATCAAATTAAAATTTATTGGTCCTTACTATTTTAAATGAGTCTAGAGAGATTGAATTAAACATAAATGAACGAACATAAACGAACGAAAGTAAACAAACATATACGAACGAAAGTAAACAAACATATAGGAACGAACATAAATAAACGAACATATTATCGAACATTCACGAACGTAAATGAACGAACGAGTCCTCTGTTCGTGTTCGTTCATTTAATTAAACGAACAAAAAATCTTATTCATGTTCGTTCGTTTAATAAATAAACGAACTTCCCGTCAAATAGTTCACGAACGATTCACTGAATGTTCTGTTCATTTACATTCCTAAGCATGAATCAGGAACAAATTAAGCTTGGATGACTGATATTACTTGGATCCTTCGCTGCCGATACACTTGCCAAGCATTCTATGATCACTCTTTAACACCCTCCCACTGATATTCAACATCTCCTTGATCGGGATCCTAGGAGTCCCTTGCATTCAAACCCTACTGCTCTAGGCTTCTACTCTTTATCATTCCAAAAAACGTTTGTAATTAAAAAGCAAAGATCCGCTAGTTGTAGGAGGGTGATTTGTGTGCTAAGTTGTTTCATTCGTCGGTTTCAATTGCTAAGAAAAATAACACAATTTACATACTGTTGCGACCGTCTTTCGGGTGGGACCGGAATTGATTTTCGACTTAAATAAGTTGGTTAGAGTCGCCACCGATCATTAAAAAAAATATTTGGGCGGATAGGACACCCTCTTACTTGATTTGCGTTTTACTAGAAATGTGTCGGATTCGGGAGTCGGTTACAGTCAATGAAGGATTAGCATCATTGTACTGCCCTTTCGGTACCAATTAATTTGTCGGTTGTCTTAATCGCGAAAAATTAAAATTAAAATGTAAAAATTCGATTCAAATTACTTACCTTTGATTGGTTGAAGTTCTTCTAAAAAAGTCAAAAATGTCATATAAAAAGTAATAAATAAATATTAAATAAAAAAAACATAAAAAAATACTAAAATGATAAATCAAATGAAAAAAATAAAATAAAAAATATAAATACAAATACAAATCAAAGGAAAAAAATAAAAAATAATAATTAAATAAATCAAAGGAAAAAAAACAAAAAAATAAAAAAAATCAAAGGGAAAATGAAATAAGATAAAAAATAAATAAACTAAATATAAAAAAGGGAAAATAAAAAAATAATTAAAAAAATACTAAATAAATCAAAAAATGTTAAATTTTTAAAGTAATAAAGTAAAAACAATATGAAGGAAAGATAGTTTTTAAAAAATATAACAAAAAAAGTTAGAGGGTCAAATTGAAACAAATTAAAATGAATGGATTAAATTGGAACTAAAAATGAGCTGCAAGAAAAAAACAAAGAGTTAGAGAGGTTAAATTGCAAGAAATGTAAATTATAAATAGAGATCGAATTGAATAAATTGAAAATTCATAGGTGACCAAAATGAATTAAACTTCAAAACTATATGGACGACGGAAAGAATTAGACTAGTGGTTAATTATAACCTAGTCCCTCGGCTATAAATAGCAAAAAACCGGAAAAAAATAAATCATTTTACCCCATTTCTAAAAAAACAAGTCCTTCTCTCCCAAAAGCTCTCAAGCTCTCCCCTAGCCGGTCATCCTCTCCGATGATACCCCTCCGACGACCGCCTTCCGTAAATCGCTCCGGCCTCCGCCCATGGTGGTTGGATACCTACAAACCACACCCTTCGAAAGCCCTCAACCCCAAGAATACAACACCAAAGCCCAAATCTTGAGAACCCCCTTCAATCGGCGTAGATCTAAAAAACCCCTTCGATTTTTTACCTTTTTCGGTGACCTCTTGACTTCCGGTGGATTTTCCCTTCCAAACCGAAACCCACATCGCGTTTAGTCCTTTGTTTGGTTATTTTTGTGGTATTTCGTTGTATTGCTTCGGTTGTGTTTGTAGTTGTGGTTTTCTGATGTTGTTTTCGGTTGCTTTGTGTTTGATGGGTTCGATTGTTGATGTACGTGTTCACCACTGTTGCTTCTATTTGGTCTTGATGATCTCTTTTTGGTTTCAATCTGGGGGTATTTATACCCTCTTGGCCGGTAAACGTTGTCGAACATCACAGGACGGGTCAGTCTCGTTTGGTGTTCGTGGCACGCTTTTCGGTCTATGGGATACCCATTCTCTGGGGTTGTTTTGACTTGATTTTTGTGAGATTTCTGGCTTCGGGTACCGGGGATCTCGATCGGTGGACGATTTTGTAGGCGCTTGAGAATCACGCGCCGTCCGTGTGGTGTTCTGCATTCCAGAATGTTCTGGGGCATTCCTGGCCGTTGGATTGGGTCAGATCCAACGGTTCGAATCTGACTGTGTATTTGAGGGTTAGACAAACCCTAGTTCTCTTACAAATCTGGTCGTTGATTCCCATCTCGATCTAATGGTCGTAGGCTATGCGGCGCTAGGACCTAATGACAAAACCCTAATATGCTCTTGGGCCGAATTGGGTATGCTGGGTCACGCTACCTGGTTGGGCCTGTTTCTGGACTTTGGACTTGGACCTGGACCAAAATAAAAAATAAATAAATAAATCATAAATAATAATAATAATAATAATAATATAAACTATATAATATATATATTTCAAAAAATATTTTTTAAACTATATATTATATATTTTTAAAAAATGTTTTCAAAACTATATATTATATATGTTTTGAAAAAATGTTTTTAAAACTATATATTATATATGTTTTCAAAACTATATATTATATAAGTTTTCAAAAAATATTTTTAAAACTATATATTATATATGTTTTCAAAAATGTTTTCAAAACCGAATACATTTGATTCATTATTCAACGAAGTACAGTCGGGTAAAAGATGACAACATTACAAAATGGCTATAACAAGAATGATTATAAGGGTGTGTTTGGTTGGGGGAATGTGAGATTCCCATAGGAATGAAATCCACATTCCCCCGTTTGGTTAGCCGGGAATGTCATTCCTGGTAATCTTACATTACCAATAGTGGATTTTTTGGGGTATATTACCGAGAATGTCATTACCTCCCTTTCCTTAGGTATTGTTGGATTACCAGCGTTTTGGACTAAAATGCCCTTACAAAAAAAAATTTCTTTCAAAAATATCCTTATTCTGACATTGAATAATAAAAATTCTACGAAGGTTAAATTACAAATTTATCCTTAAACTATTTTAGATTTACAAAAAAAAAGTCTATAATTAAAATTTTATATAAAGTTCAGGGGTTAAAATAAAATTTTACCCTTTCATTAAACCTTTTTATATTTTCAATTTTGTAAAAAAATTATATAAATTTTATGAATTTAATTTTTTTAAAGAAAATATATAAATATTTTCCAACTTGTTAAAAAAAACAAATATATAATGAGGACAATTTGGTCAAATATACATTTCAATAATCTTTTATTCCTTTAATCAAACACGGTAATCTTACATTCCTGCTAAACCAACTAAACACAAAATGCAACATTCCCAGTAATCCTATTCCCTGGTAATCTTTTATTCTCATTGGTAATCTTACATTCCGTGAACCAATCGCACCCTAAGAGATAAATACTCTTTTGGCTAGTTGTCTTACAATAGAAAAGTACATTCCACTGAAAGATTCGCCAGTACAGAGTACTTGTACCCCTGACCAAACATCACCCTTTTGACTTCAACAATGCCAAAAACTGTGCCCAAAGCTTTGTCCCACACAGAGAAGATAAAGACAGAATTCCCAATGATTAGATATCTAAATATGAGTTAGGTCATAATGTACAAACATCAAGAGCAAAACATTTCTGGAGGCATAAAATCAACAAGATGTTTCAGTTTCCTTAGTTTCCAAGGTGATTGCTACATCAGAACAGAGAAATATATAAATGTGAAGAACACATCTATTTAAATGGACAAATTTTACTATGCATCTAGGATACTAATAACCTTGAAAGCATAGAGACGGAGAAATTACAAAAAGCATGAGTCATCCTTGAGAAATCTGCTCAATAGCATACTGTTCTTAAAAATGTCCAGAGTCATTTGACTATGCCTGCACTTTTAGTTGGTTGAAATAATAAATCATTGAGTAAAAAGTTGTGAACCCAATTCTTTGGGCTAGTAGCACTACAATTAAAACTTCAAATCAACATAACTTCATAGTCTTTACACACATTCCTATAAACCATACAACTACCTATGAATTAATTAAATACTTTAAGCTTTGTTTGGTTCGTAATCAAAGCAAAAAAGCGTGTTCGGAAGAAACAATACTTTTGAAGGATTATAGTTATTATTTAGATAAAAAATGCACAATTTTACTTATATATAAACCAATTATGTTGCAATTAGAGTAGCATTTACTTGGCCATTTCAAGAACCATCATGAATTGTTATTTAACGTCTTTCTCTTTGAAGCAACTTTTAAGAAGTGGGAACCAACTTTTAAGAAGTGGGAACCAACTAGCAAAAGCATTAACCAAACAAAGCTAGAGACATAATTGTTGAAAAATCAAACCACATGGGCTGCTAAGCAGCCGGTGGCTTTGAATAAAGGTTTT